TAAAATTCTTCCAGCTGAACTAGAGCTACTATTCAATTTTTAAACCAGAATAAGAGGTGGCAGTGAAAGTAGGAATAGCAAGTGAAAGAATGTGTTTATTTCAGTCTTCGGGGGGTTGTGTGGGTCAAATTTCTCACTGTGGCTTCAATGGGGACATGTTTTAAGAGGCATCACCCACAAAAAGGGTATAGAGTGCAGGTCTAAAGGACTGAAGCTCTAGAGTTAGTAGCCTAGGTTTGAATCTCAGTTTTCTTTTTTTTCCCCATCTTTATGACTCTCAATTTAAAATGCTTTACTTGCTCTATATCCTTGCAAGTTAAGCATTTTAAGTCTCAGGTTCAAGTATAAAATGAAGATTAATAATAGTATCTGCTTTTTAGAATTGTGAGGATGCACTCTGATAGCTATATAAAGTCCCCAGTATAATGCCAGTCAAACTTGCTTATTCAGTAAATGTTGACTGTTATCATCTTTATTTTATTAGTACTATTATCAATACCTATTATTTATTGTTTATCTTTTAATGTATCACTGTATTGGCATTAGGTAATGATTTATATATATATATATACAAGTGTAACCAGGTGGTCCCTAGGAAAAGGGGAAGTTCCAGGGTCCCTGCCCCACCCAGAAGGAGGGTAAAGCTGAGCAGAGAAAAGGGAGAAGAAGAGAAGGAAGCAGGATGGAGAAGGAGGAGACCTAAGGAAGCCACATGGAGTAGCATGTGATGAAGAAACTGGGCTTGTTTCCTGACCCTGGACTGGTTAAGGCAGATGTGGGTGAGATACCTGTAGGGAGGTGACTATGGCAGTGTTTATATTGATTTTGATTTTGCTTTTTTCCTCCCAGATTTGTCTGGCCATTTCTGACCGTTTTCCATGGGTCCGGCCAGAAAGTGCTTTAGTCTTGTAGCAGGCTTTCAGGCTTTGCTTTGGGCCAATCCTTTTTGGGTTGACTTTTGCCCACGAGGGGATGGGTAACTTCAGGTGTTTGATTTAGAAGTTATATTCTTTGTGTTCCGTATTGTATATTCACTGTATTAAAGCCCCTTTTCATTAAAGTTTTATATGTTTTGTCTTGTTGCGGCGGATGGCAGAACCCACTTAGAGCAGGCAGGTTTTGGGGGCTTCAGGGGTTTCCCTTTCCTCCTGTACTGAAACAGATTTGCTGCCCTATAACACAAGAACTGGGGTGGTGGTCAGAAGTGCGGGGGAGGGGTGAGACAGAATGAGGAGAACATGCAGATCTATTGAAATACACTGGTGAGGGGAACAGTGGGCGAGACAGCAGAGGTCTGCTGTGACATGTGGGCCAGCTCCCTGGATGGGAATCATATTCTTGTTGCAGGAGCTAGCAATAGTTTGATAGCACTGTGCCTTTAACCCCTGTGCCACAAGGGAGGCCCAACATGGCCTCTTTGTATGAAAATTTGTAACATCAGTTGCCCAGTGACATTGCACATCAGGAATTTGAACTAAGAAAAGAATCTTGGCTTTGATAAATAAGAAGCACATAGAAATGTGACAGTGTACATGAAATTTCCATTACTAGCTACATATTCATTCTTGACAACTAGATACTGTTATAGTGCACCCCAAATCTGTTAGAGGACAAAATCTGTTATAGTACACTAAATCTGTTACAGGACAGGGAGAGGGGGGCACCCCTGAAGCCCAAAACCTGCCGCTCTAAGTGGGTTCTGCCATCCGGCGCAACAAGACAAAACATATAAAACTTTAATGAAAAGGGACTTTAATACAGTAAATATACAATATGGAACGCAAAGAATATAACTTCTAAATCAAACACCTGAAGTTACCCATACCGTCGTGGGCAAAAGTCAACCCAAAAGGGATTGGCCCAAAGCAAAGCCTGAAAGCCCGCCACAAGACTAAAGCACCTTCTGACCTGGAACCATGGAAAAGGGTCAGAAATGGCCACACAAATCTGGGAGGGAAAGAGCAAAATCAAAATCAATATAAACACTGCCATAGTCACCTCCCTACAGGTATCTCACCCACATCTGCCTTAACCAGTCCAGGATCAGGAAACAAGCCCAGTTTCTTCATCACATGCTTGCTGCTCCATGTGGCTTTCTCACGTCTCCTTCTTGTTCTCCATCCAACTTCCTTTTCTTCTCTTCTCTGATTCCTTCTCTTCTCTCCTTTTTCTCTGCTCAGCTACACCCTCCTTCTGGGTGGGGCAGGGAACCTGGAACTTCCACTTTTCCTAGGGTCCACCCTGTTACAATACAATTGAGATATGATTAAAAGTAATATAATTTTGGTAAGTCCTGTTCAAGGACTCCTAGGTGGTTACCAATAAATAACAGTTTTAAATTCAGTCTAAAGTATATGTCATAGTTACCTCTTTACAGACATAAGGTACACAGACATCTACATTTCATTGACATTCATTTCAATGACGTTTCATTGTCATTTTACCCAGCAAATATTTATTAATTACATGCAGTCAACTAGATATAGTTACAGCATACAGTAGGATTCATCTGTGAATAACATAAAAGGTCCTACCTCTGTAGAGCTTGTATTTTAATGAATTACTAGAAATAGTTGATAGATCTTTTAAAAAGATTTGAGATGAAAGCTATAATAATGATAAAATTATAAGTTAAGTGAAAAGTTACTAAATCATCATAAGCATATTAGACTTGGAGATAGAAAGTCTAAAAGCACTATACTATGGATTTCTGGATAAGAAATCCATCTTATGACATTATCAAAACATTTGAAAGAAGATGGCAACTTAAAATAAGTACATGGTTAAGGAGAGCTAAGAGATGTTACAAACCTCATAGAAAATATTTAATTTTCAATTTAGTGCCTTATAATGTTACAAGGAAGTACTTAAGCTTGTTCATTTTATTGGATCTATGCCCATTGCTCTCTGGTACAGTGGGTGGTATCGTCTACCTGTAGTCACATAGCTCCTGTTCGTGGGGTGTGAGTTTAGACTGACTTCAGAAACTTCTTACACAGGCTGTTCTTGCCTTGGGGGAACATGAGAATTTGTGTTCAATCCTCTCTTAATTTTTGTAATTACTGCATTGAAATCACATCCTGACTGACTTCATTATCATCATATTTTAACTTCATTATCACCATATTTACCATTTACTTTAAACCCACAACATGGGAATCTCCCTGGCAAATCTCATGTCAGCTGGAGGTTGTCCATATAAGGTAAAGTGAAGTCAGAGCTAAGTTATTTTCCAGCTTCTGGCTTTGTATGGAAACAAGAGAAGGTAGATGTCCTATAGGCTGCTGATTCTTTTTTTTTTTTTTTAAGATTTATTTATTTATACAAACAGAACTGGAGTATAGGCCAGAGTTGCGAGGGTTGACAGGATTCAACAGAGACACAGTAGGAAGCAGAACAACAGGCAGATTGATGAAATACACTGCTGAGGGGAGCAGCTGGTGGTCAAGAGGTCTGCTGTACCATGTGGGTCACCCCCTGGCCAGGGATCAAACTTGTGCTGTAGTGATAGCTTCATAGTGCTGTGCTTTAACCCATTGTGCCACCAGGGAGGGCCTGGCTGCTGATTCTTAAAAAGTTTTTGTTGAGGGTATTATGAGTTCCCCTTTAGTTTTATTTCGTCTAGTTTTTTATTATCCCTTTAGTTAGGTCATTTCTGTACCTAGAAGGCTTCAGTTTGCAAAGCTATAAATCTGTCAGTCTCATTCATGTGCTTTCACTTCAAATTAAGGTTCAACAGGAGATTAACACAAAACTGTTTCAGGCTGTATTTCTTTACACAAAAGTGTGGGTATAGTTTGAATAGTCTGCCAAAGCCAGGAATAGAAGTCAATTGTGTAAATCAATGTAGGCAAGCTGATCACCTTTCTGAAAGATGAGACAAGGCAACACACAATCTCTAAATAGATCTTTGGGGTCAAGTTGGTGTCATGTTGAAGAATCAATATTTACTGGGCTTTATAAAGTTAGCTTTTAATGAACCCCAGGCATTTTGCTAGGCCATCAATTGCTGAAAGAGGAACCTTGACAGTGCCTGAGGTCCCCAGTCTGTGGAGGTTATATAAAAATAAATAGTCACTTGCTAATATACAAAAGTCCCTCCTCTTAGGGTCTAGTAATCACTAGTGGGTACACATATTGAAAGACTTTTCTTGGAGTTCATTACCATTTTAAGAAAGAGCAACTCTTGCATCCTAACAGGAGGCGAACCTTTTACTCATTGACAACCCTCATCTAAGCAGTGAGGCTTAATTTTTCTTAGGATGAATTCTGATACCATTTTGAATGCTGCTTTATAAATGTACTAATCAAAAGAGCAGATCTCTCTCAGAATATGGCTCACCCCTCCCTCTGACATACTTGAAAGCTTTTAAAGTGAAGAATTGCAGTAAAGAGCATTTACTTTAGGATACTGGGCTAGAATCCAAGTCTAATAAAAGGTTTTTGATAAATATTATCATTTGCACTTGCTATCCGATCTGGTGGAAGTATGCATGTGTAAGTGCTCTGTATTCCTCCCTGGGCTGTCAGTATCATCTGTAGGTCAGGAATCTTATTTTCTGTTTATTTTAGATAATGTATCTAATATATTTGTTGCCTAGGTAGAGGAATGTATACTATACTGACTGACACAAAACTAGGATCATACCTGGTCAATAACTGAAAATGAAGACCAGGAGTCAGGGTGTGATCCCAGGATGTTTGTTACAAGTTCTTGATAATATCCACTCTATTGATACATTCTGAATTGACTTCTCAGACTTTCTCTTGTACAGTTTGATTATCAAAGAGGCTTTAAAATCAGAGAGAAGAGCTGCTGTTCTTTTCTCACTCCCACTCCATCTCTTCTCCCCAGAATCATTTCTCAGAATAAATACTAAAAAGAAAAACATAGGAGGCTTTGTTGAAATTATTGTGGTGTTTATATGGGAGAATTCTGATGCTTACTATTTTTTACTGTAGTTATATATTTATTTTGGATTTTTTCCCTTCCTTTTCAGCAATTTGAGAACTTCTACTTTGGTACCCTAAAGCTCAATTCAATTCACATCTCTCAGAGGTTCACAGTAGACAGCTTTGGAAACTATGCTTCCTGTGGACACGTTGACTTCTCCTGAGGTGGACCCTGAGAAGCCCTAGGAATTGGACATCCTCACACAGTGCTGAGGAAAAGCATCTTTGTTTTAATTGCCAAAGAGGGTTGTGAAAATTTGGGTGATGCCTTTTCTGAGTGGTTCCCTGTGGGTAAAGTAACCTCTAATGATTGTCTGCAGTTATCAGATTCTCAACCAAAATGATTGTGGGCACAAGAACTTGTGCCTCCAACCTTTGGCTTGCTCATTTTTCACAAGGACTACCCTCTTTCTTGAAGTTCTTCTGTGGAAATGTACTTCTGAAACCCATTGGAACTCAAATTTGTGTTATTTCTCCTGTGCATACTGAGTTTTGCCCTAGTCATTAAATTCTTATTAAATTCTTAGTCATTAAATTCTATATTTATACTTTAAAGGAAAGACATGATTTTATTAAATCTTCTACCTAGATCAGATATCTGTAATTATCTTTTTCTCTTCTATGCTTAATCACTACCTGGAATGTCTTCTTTATTGTGGCAAAAAAAAAAAAAAGTGCATAGTATACAATTTACCATTTTTTTATTTATTTGTTTATGCATATAAGACTGAGGTGTTGGCAGAGGTTAGGGGGCTTGAGAGGATTCACCAGAGACACAGTGGGGAGCAGAAGAGCAGGTCCACTGAAATATTTTTACTGAAATACACTGCTAAGGGGAACAGCAGGCAAGATAGGAGAGATTTACTACACCATGTGGGTCAGCTCCCTGGCTGGGGATTTGCAGTGACAGGCAAAATAGCTTGATAGTGCTGAGACTTAACCCCTTGAACCACCAGGGAGGGCCCTAAATTTTACCATTTGTTAAAAAGATGTGTTTATTTATGCATACTGACCTGGGGTACAGGTCAGAGGTGTGGGGAGTGAGAGGATTCACCAGACACAGAGTGGGGAGCAGAACAGACAAAATACACTAGACAAAGTACACTGCTGAGGGGAGCAGCAGGAGGGTCAGGAGAAGTCTGCCACGCCATGTGGGTCACCCCCCTGGCCTGAGGTCAAACTCGTGATGCAGTGGCTGCGATAGCTTCACAGTGCTGTGCTTTAACCCACTTCACCCATCCTAACTATTTTTAAGGGTACAGTTCAGTAGTGTTAAGTATACTCAGGTTGTTTTGAAACATCTCCAGAATTTTTTCATCATTCAGTCTAAAATGTTATACCCAGTAAATAACTCCTCATTTCCTCCCTCTCCTGCTAAACTTTCTATTTTGTCTCTATCAATTGATTAGATATTTGATATTTTAGATACTTCTTGTAAGAGGAATCATAACATATTTGTCTTTTTGTACAGAATTGCCCTTTCTATTTAACATAATATCCTTAATATTATCTGTGTTGTAGCATGCGGCAGCAGTTCCTAATATTCCATTTAATGTATGTGCCACATTTTATTTAGCCGCTTATCTGTCAGTGGGCCCTTGGGTTCCTTCAGCCTCTTGAATAGTACAAGTATACAAATAACTCTTTGAGAACCTGCTTTTCAATTTCTTTATTATTCAGAATTTTATCTTTAGCAAAATGACCTTTAAGGTTTTCTCTTTGTCCTTTACTTTTGCCCTTTTTCTTTTGAAATCAGTAACTTTGTATGTTTTCTAGATTTTAGTTCCTTCAGCTAACCCTTGCCTGCTCACATCCCTGATGGAGATGGAATATTGTAGTACATTTCTATTTGAACACTAGAAACAGCAATGATATCAACAGGACTGCAGTATTCCCGCGGAGAATGTCAGCAGCAGAAGAGACTCTTTCCTTGAGGTGGAGCAGCAGCAGGAATGCCCCCAGCTCAGCTTCGTTCCACTCCTCAGACCTGTCATGTGCCTCTGGCATTCTAGCTTTACTGTGGCCTCTTGTCTTCCCTTCCTCACATCCTCCCTTCCTCCATGTCCTCTCTTTCTTTCTCTTGCCTTCATTTCTTATTCTTGAGTCCTAGTTTCGGTATGAGAAGTCTAATCTGAACACTTCAGGCCATTACCTCATCAGAATTGTGCTGTTGTGCTAAGACATTTCTGTATCAGCTGTGACTACACAAATCATTTGTGAATAAATGAATCTCTGAAGTACCTGACAGTTTTAGTTTGACCCCTCCCTCATTGTGTGCTGGCATGTCACTTATTCACTGGTATTGGCTTCTGCAGGATTGCTTTTTCTCAAAAAACTTTGTTAGTAACATTTTTTTTTTTTTAAGTTGAGATTTTACCGCATTCGCTTCTGATTGTTAGATGGCATGTGGGCGTGAATGCTCCTAGAGATATTACTGAGCAGTGAAGTTGGCCATGGATTCAATGCCCTCAAATTATCTTGGTGCTTCTCTCTTAACAGGTTTCTTTCAGAAAACTGTCATTGGGTAAACTTGACCAGGAAGAAAGATACCTTCTTTTGGGTATCAGAGATTATGACTTATGTTTTTAGTAAAGTTTTAAAAAGTGATATCTATGAAAAATTTAACTTCCTATATCAAACACTAAGGTGTTTTTTTTTTGTTGTTTTATTTACGCATTCAAGAGCTGTTTTATTTACGCATTCAGAGGTGCTGGGTGGGGTGGGTTGGGGGTGAGAGGATTCACTAGGGACAAAGTGGGGAGAAGAACAGGCAGGTCTACTGAAATACACTGCTGAGAGGAGCAGGGGAGGTCTCCTGGGCCATGTGGGTCAGCTGGCCGGAGATTGAACTCATGCTGTCATGGCTATTTATAGCTTCATAGTGCTGAGGCAACCCCTTGCACCACCAGGGTGGCCCTCAAACACTAAATTCTTAATTGATTTGGAAAATCTGTCATTTAGAAGTTAGAGCTAACTGAATTTCAGTAAGCATTTATTTGTAGTGTTAAGTAGTTTTTCACAATTTATATTCCTTTTTCACTCATATCTTGTTCAGTGGGTTTTTCTAGACTACATGACACAGTGAAATTACTACTTGGATGGTTAATGGAGCTTGTGCTTACGTATTTTTAAGTGTGTTCTAAAATTTTTTTAAGTAGGAAGGTATTGGTAGAATTGGAAAGTTTATCTTTAAAATTTTCTTTCTAAAAGTCTGTAGACAATTTTTTAAAATGAATAATAATTTATTTTTACATCATTTTGTGCATTTTTCCATCTCAGTTGTAATCCCCTTGGGCTTCCCATCACCAAATCACCCATGTGCCATCACCATAGTCCATAGTCCCTCCACACACTGTTTTTGATTCCATTCCCCACTCCACCTCCATAAAATGTCTGTGGTATATAGCTGTTCATTATTATTATTATTTTCTCTCCTGGTCCATTATATTCCTGGTATGAATGAAACCATCCGGTATTTTTCCTTTTCTTTCTGGCTTATTTCACTAAGTATGATCTTTTCCAGCTCTATCCATGTTGCTGCAAAAAGCATGTTTTTCTCTTTTGGTTGCTGAGTAATATTCCATTGTATATATGTACCACATCTTTCTAATCCAGTCATCTACTTTTGGGCATTTGGGCTGCTTCCATGTTTTTCCAATTGTAAATAAAGCAGTAATAAACAAGGGGGTGCAGGTATCTTTTTGAATCAGTGTTTTTGTGTCTTTTAAGTAGATACCTAGGAGTGGGATTGTTGGGTCATAGGGAAGCTCCATGTTTAGCAGTTTGAGGAACCTCCAGTTTTCTGTAGTGTATGTACGAGTTTGCATTCCCTCCAGTAGTTCCTTTTCTGTAGACAATTTTTTTTAAACAGTGTAGCTCTGTGGGTTCCTATGACCATGAGCAACTGTGACCTATTTGCTATCCACAAATCACAGCAGAACATTCCTTAACTACCTGTGGAGTATAGCGCCTGTTACAAGGCAGGCCCAGCACGCCTCAGCCACTGTTGACCTGATTACGTGGCTGTCTCCATGGTGGTCTGGGGATAATTCTGCATGTGATAACATCATACACATGGTCACAATGTCCCCTTCCCTCTCTCTTGTAAAACTTTGTCCCCTATTCCTGTCCGACCCTCTGGATCCTATTCCTCATACCACTTTCACATGATCAACTTTTACTATCCTATATGATTTCAATAAATGCCATAAGAACTTCTGCTCAAAAAGCAGAGTCTTGCCTTGCAAACCTGCTCCATGGCCTCTTTGTCCCTCATTGCATCCCCACTTCAAAGCTGCAAAATGTTCCTGTCCAACATAGCTCTAAAGAAAATGTCTTTTTTAATTAAAAAAAAATTTTTTAATTGTATTTATGCATACAAGGGTGCAGGCCAGAGGTGACAGGATTCACCAGAGTCAGAGTGGAGAGCAGAACAAGCAGATCGACAGAAATACCCTGCTGAGGGGAGCTGTGGATAGGTCAGGAGAGGTTTGCTGTGCCTTGTGGGTCACCTCCCTGACTGGGGATTGAATTCCTGTTGCAGTGGCTGCCGATAGCTTGATAGTGCTGAGACTTTAACCCCTTTGCCACCAGGGAAGCCCTATCTTTGTTTTTATTAACAGCTTTTGGGGGGCCTCCCTGGTGGCCCAAGGAGTTAAGCTTCAACACTGTGAAGCTATCAACAGCCACTGTAGTACAAGTTTGATTCCCAGCCAGGGAACTGACCCATATGATGCAGCAGACCTCTCCTGTCTTACCTGCTGCTCCCCTTAGCAGTGTATTTCAGCAGATCTGTCTATTTTGCTTCCCAGTCTGTCACTGGTGAATCCTCTCACACACACAACCTACCCCACACCCCAGCTCTTGGCCTGTACCCCAACTCTTGTATGGGTAAATGTAAAAAAAAAACACACAGCCTTTTTGTTGTTAATAAAATGGTCTTTTTAAAAAAGTTCACTTTAAAAAGTCATCAAGCTGTATACCTCATACCATTTTGAACGTGTGTGTTATACTTCAATTTAAATATTCATTAAAAATAAGTTTCATTATCCAGAGAGTATTATTCAATGTGCACTTAAGCATATATTGTTTAAGTAATTTTCACAGATAACAACAGGTAATATTAGTGGAATGATCAAATTTGTTATTTGTATATTCACTTAGTACAACAGCCTACTTAAATGGCTATTGCCATTATCCTCATTTTACAATGTGAGGCTCATCCAGGTTTGCCTGAGATCACAAAGTTTGTACCAGTAGTTGATAAAGTGTGGTGTTGACCCATGGAAATCCATGAGAACATTTTAAAGTGCATACTATATTCATAAAAACACTAAGATATTACTTGCCTTTTTTAACTCTCATTTTGTATATAGTGGAGTTTCCAGAGGTGATATAATATCATCATGCTGATGTTTGATGAGATATCTGTATATTTTGTGCCTTCTAGAACTGCATAAATTTAGGTAGGTTCAGGGTATAAATACAAGTTCTTAGAGAGTAGTTCCGTTTTCTTTTAATTCTTCTGTGCTCTTCCTAGCTATTTTCAAATGAAACTATTTGCTGTATTTGCAAAAGTGTAAAACAATGGCACAATCACTAATGAGGAGGGGGAATGTAACATTTATATTTTCTTATTTTATAATTTTCAACATGTAATAGATTGTTATTTTAAATAAAATATTTTAAGTTCTTAGATTAATAACTCTTAGTTTTTAGATTGACAGCAAAATTGAGAAGAAAGGCTAGTTTTATTTCTTTTAAAATAAATAATATAATTTATTTTTACATCATTTTGTGCATTTTTCCTTCTCAGTTGTAATCCCCATGGGCTTCCCATCACCAGATCACCTATGTGCCATCACCATAGTCCACTGCAAAAGGCTAGTTTTATTTTTTTTACCTACAATAAATTATGTATGTCTCACACTGATAAAAAGTTCTTTGGGATCCTTAGCTTTTTATTGGAAAGGACTCCTGAGACCAGAAAGCTTTAGAACTGCTATCCTATTATGCATCCTTCCAAATGGAGTCACATTATATATCTTATATAATGAGCTTTTCTCACTCAGCAGTGTGGACTGGATCACAGTAGTAGTTGTCTGCAAATAAAGATCTATGTTATTTTTATGTCCATACAATGACCCATTATGCCTTTATGTTATAATTTAACTTGGTGGTCCCTGACTAGTGGACATGAAGCTGGTTGCCAGGTTTGACTATTACACACTTGCTGTTGCCTAAAGGCCAAGAAGTGATTCAGGTTTCGCTATTGTAAACAATTCTGAATTGAACATCTTTGTGCATTTGTATTTGTATGCTTGTGAGGTCATCTAGAAATGAGAGTAAATGTTTTTAAAGATGTTAAATTTAAACTGTCTTGGAAACAGTTTCCTTCATTTTATACTGCTAAATATTAAATACTAAGAAAAATACGTAAGACATGTACCATTTAACAAATGTACACAGCAGCTTTTGAAACACTTGAATTGAAAAGGCTGAAACTAATAATTTTGAAATATAGAAAATCCCCCCCCTTTTAAAGATTTATTTATTTATACATGCAGAACTGGGGTCCAGGTCACAGGTACAGAGGTGAGAAGATTCATCAGAGACAGAGTGGAGAGCAGAGCAGGCAAACTGATTGAAATACACTGCTGAGGGGAGCAGTGGGTGGGTCAGGAGAGGTCTGCAACACCATGTGGGTCACCCCCCTGGCAGGGCATTGAATGTATGCTGCAGTGGCTGTGATAGTTTCATAGTCCTGTGCTTTTAACCCCTTGTGCCACCAGGGAGGGTCCAAGCCCTTTCTTCATAAACTATAATTATTGTTCATTTTCTTATAACACTCTTACCTGCCATCCAGATATTTTGATTCTCCCTTCTAAACTGTTTTATAATTGCCTTAAGCAACCATCTGGACTGCTGTTGATTTGCTTTGAACAAATCAGGGTTAATATCTACCCAGTTTGAAGTTGCTGCAGAACGCAAGTCCCTTTAGATTAACTGCCTAGGGAGTATGGGAAACATTTTCACTATCACATTTCTGGAAACAGCTATTGTCTTATTGATGGGCATCTTGTCATAATCTTTCCAGACATTATTGGGTAGCTTTGGCAGTTCTGGAAGACCAGAGACTTTATAAAATAGTAATGGAATGAGAGAGATATAATATCTAGAATCTACCTCCTCAGTGCCTTGGAGATACAGGATTAGCTTTACTAAAAGCCTAGGGCTGAAATAGTGTGAAAGATGGAATGTTCTTCAATGACCACAAAAAATGATGTGAAAAAATTAGTACATTTCCTGGACAGTGAGGCATCGTGGCTTTCTTTCCTATGAAATTTTTAAAGCATCCCTATGCTAGTATATAGTTTTAGGTGAGTGTCACAGCAATCTTCTGAGATAGGTGGTATTATTAGTATATAGATAGAAAATGATTTGGTAACTTGTCCGAGAGCCCAGCTCATTAGTGGGATTCCATCCCTAGTCTATGTGACAAATAAGCTGTGCTCTTCTCTCAAGCAGCACCACCATACAACCCAGCAGGCCTGCTGTATTGATGAAGACATCAGTGGCTAGGGCCTCAGTGCAGCACCACCTCTTAACTGCAAAGGGGAAAAAACACCGGATAGGCAACTATTGTTTTCAGTTTTCCCAAGGGAACACCAACCCAAGTCAGAAGCATTTGGAATTCCCAGGCAGTCTAGACTTAGGGTGACTATGAACCTTGTAACCTGTGTTTTTCCCTACTGATTAAGATCTGTTTTTCATTACTTTTGATTTTTTAAAAAGATCTCAGAAACCAAGTTTTTATTTTATTTTAATAAAAACAGAATCTAGGGCTTATGTCCCAAAAGTTCAGTTTTGTCCTGTGAGATTATCTGTTTCGTTTTCAATTTATTTGTAATGTAAACCTCGCCCTGTTTTTACTCTGATCCTGGGACTGTGTCCAGCCTGTGGTGTTTCCAGCTGGTATATCAACACATTTCTTACAGGCATGATGATGGTCACAATTTTAACAAAAAACTAAACACCTCAAACAAAACCAGCTCTCCCACCTCCCTTGGCTTATTAAAATCAACTGCAGTCAAGGTTGCTTGCTCAACCCTGAGCAAATGTGCTTCTCCCACATTTTTAACCTCAAGGCAGATGAAATGGTCAGACATTTGCCTTAAGATTGCCATAGGAAGAGCTAACAAAAGGGGTGACAGCCCTTAAACAGCTGCTTGGGGAAAAGGACATCTGCCTCTTTCACCAGCCACTCCGTGTTCTGGCCTGCCTTGAAAAGAGCATGTGGGATTGGGCAGCGATAGTTCTGGGGCAGCCAGTTGTTAGATGGCTTTTGTCTTGGGAAAGCCACCCTTTGCTATAGAGCCATAACTCTCAGGAAGCCAACTGTCAGGGCTGTGATCATGCCCCTGGGCGGGAGGCAAGGGGAGAGAGACTGTGGCCAAATTTTCTTTTAGACACCTGCGCCTGGCCGCTTTGAAATTGGAGAGTTTTGTGTCTTCCCTCCAATCCCATCTTCCCTGGGGAGACCCGGGGGTTCGTGCTCTCCACCCTTGGTAAAACAGCAGGGACTTCATCGAATTCGGATTCCGTCGTTTGCTACTCCCTGAGTGCTAAACTGGGCTGGGCTGGGCTCTGCGGCGGCTGACTGGCGTTTTGAGCTCTGATCTACCGCTTCCCTTTGAAATCTACCCCCTCCTTTTTTTTTTTTTAAACCAGGTATGATGATGTCAAACGTGATGCTGATGCTACAGTTACAGACACGGCCCCTGCTGGCGCAGCCTCTCTGATTCTCTCTCGCTCTCCGCGGCCGGCGCTCGGCTTTTTCAGACAAGTGCATCTCCTAACCAGGTCACATTCAGCCAAGACCCACTACCCGTCTGTCACCGGAGTCAGACCGCTGGAGGAGGACCGAGGAAGACGTTCGCGTTTGCTTCGCGTGCCGCGGGGTGGGAGGAAGAACCTTAAAATACTGCAGGAATCGAGTCCCCAGGTCGAACCCAGACCACGATGCGCACCCCGGGCTGCGGGCGACTGGCGCTGCCGCTGCTGCTCCTCGCCACGGCCGCCCTGGCCGAAGGCGACGCCAAAGGGCTCAAGGAGGGCGAGACCCCCGGCAATTTCATGGAGGACGAGCAATGGCTGTCGTCCATCTCTCAGTACAGCGGCAAGATCAAGCACTGGAACCGCTTCCGAGACGTGAGTCTGCTGGGCCGAGGTCCGGGGGACGGGCTCGGGAAGGGGGCTTCGGAACAGAGACCCCCGCGCGGGGAGCGGCGGCTGCACGTCGCAGCCACAGCTCCCGCAGCCCGGCGGGCTAATTGCACGGAGAGTAAACAACGCGCCCCCACCGGGCATCCGGCAGCGCTCGCCGTCGCAAGCCGAGGTGCCCCCAGCCTTGGCCTTGCTCCCCCGGACCCCGACCCGGGAGGCGGCAAGCTTGGGACCCCCAGTCTCACACTGCCCGGGCGAGTCCCGGCAAGCAGTCGCTCAGAGGGCGCGCTCCCCGTAGGCTCTCCTCTGCAGGCCGGAGAAGGGTGCGGGACGCAGAAGGGTGTCTGTGAGGAGGGGGAATGCGGCTGGCGGCCAGACTTACTCTTCCCCTACCCTCATTTTTTTTTTTTTTTTTTTTTTTTTTTTTTGGTGAACCGCCCCCAGCCTTCACCCGGCCGGCTGGATGCTGCAGGCTCCACATACGGGGCACTGCGGAAGGGGCAGGTCTGGGTGGGGCCGGCGGGAAGGGAGCATCGCCTAGCGCGAGGTGCCCTCTGTGCCCACCTTGGGCGGGGGAAGCAGAAGAGGACCCTTGGCTGGGGCTTTGAGTTTGCTTAGGAAGGAAGGGTAGTCCTAGCGATTCTCATTAGAACGAGAATTGAAAGGCGTGCCCAAAATGGGGGGAGGAGTAGGGAGTGGGGGCTGCCTCGGCGGTGAAAATGACGGGGTGGCCGTTAGTGCCAGGTCTGGGGTCGCGGTGTAGAGGGGCGCGAGCACGAGCGGAGGCTGCTTTTCCGAAACCTTTGGCTGGGGAGCCGGGCCCAGCGCAGGGCGGGGTGGGGGGAGGGGAGTGAGGAGCGGCTTCCATCCGGAGGGGAGACTCTAGCTCCCTGGGTTTGACAAGCAAAAAGCCCAGAAGCTGGGTCGGGGGGTTCCTGGCGGGCGCCCGCCCACACCCCGGCTTAACCTTGGGCGGAACTTTGCAGGGTGGGAGGCGGGGAGGCTGCTGCGGACTTCCCCGCGTCTCTGCAGCACTTTGTTTACGGGCACCTGTAGATCAGAGGAGAAACCGCAGGCGGCGGGAAGGGGCGAGTCGGAGCGAGGAGGGAAGGGCCGCGGGCGTGACTGGGACCCAGAGAACTTGGGGTCGGGGTGGGAGGTGGAGGATGGACCCGATGGGCTGGAGAGGAACGGTGGTCCCCAGCACCTGGCGCTTTCTGTCGCCGGTTCTGAAAAAGCCTCTTGTTCGCGTCTGGCTCTCGCTCTTCATTCCTCTAGTACCCCAATTTGACACACCTGATACAACACAGTCGCGCTGTGACCTTTTTCATCTTTTAAACTGCGTGCATCCAGAAGTTCTTTAGAAATGTGTTTAAAACACACATGCTTCACATGATACCCAGCCAAATGATGGGAAGAAGCAGAGATGTGGATCTTTTTGTTATAGTGACGCAAGTGACTATCTCTCCCCAGAGTCAAACTGGTAGGTTGTAATTCATCAAAAGGAATCTCTTGCTGCCAGGTCCCCCCTGGGGTTGAGTGGCCCGGGCCCAGTGTGGTTTCTTCAATCTTTGCCCCACCCACGACTTGGTCCTGGCAGTGGTGGTGAGGGGAGCCCGGAGCTTCCAACAAGACCTTTTCAGTGGTACCTGCAGGCCCTGCACATATTAGCTGCAGTCTCCTGCCGCTGCCTGGGAAGCAGCCCTGTGGCCACAGCAGTGAGGGGGTGGCTGCAGGCAGCAGGCAGCTGCCTATCCGGAATCTATGTGTCACTGGTCCAGGCCTCCCTCTGACTCGCTGGCAGCTTGATCTTCCACAATGGGACTGGTGAAGGTCAGAGGGAAAGAAATGCTTAATCAGATCAGCAAAGGTTTAAAAATAAAAGAATTCTTCCCACCTCCTATCCTCCACCTGCTTCTAATAGCCAACTCTGTGGGTGAGGATAAATGACTGACTGCTTGACCCCCTGGCAGAGGGCTGCCCACCTGTCTCCTTGTACTGGTGCCAACCACCTCCCCCTTCCTTCTTTGCTCATCAGAAGAAAATACAAGATTTGAAATTCTCCAGGACCTGCCCCTGCAGGATTCATGGAAAGCTTTAGGTCCTGTACTGGTTTGAGTGGCTGAGGATTTTATAAGGCAGGTGTCCTCTGAAACCCCATTTAAGACAGCCCTGGTTGTAGGAGGACAGGGTTAAGGAGAGAAGGAGGACAAAGAAAACTGGGCAGGAGTGCCTGGCTCTAGGAATCCATTGGCAGCCTCTGCGGAGAGGCAGGCGGCTGCTAGCTCAGAGCCGCTGCGTGGTATGATTGTAGTGGTGCCGGAATGTGAATGGCACCCCCTGGAGCCGTGCAGTGCACACACTGTACACAGGGACTCTGCCAACACCACGGACTCTTCTGGCCCCTCCTCTGCTAATAGAGGCCCCCCTTCCCACCCCAAGGGTTGAAGGCCTTTAGTTAGGCTTAGCATACATCCATCAGGCTAGGTTCCTTGAAAATATACTCTTCAGCTCCTTAAAAAAGAAATAGTAGTTGCTTTTGAACCTCTCAGTAGTTCTTTTGAGCCAGAACCTCACGTATCATCAACCAGAAAACAGCACGGGACTCCCTGTTTGCTTTGGTAGAAGAGCTGCAAGCAGAAGGAGTATTCTTGAGGAGAAGGATGAAGGAGTTGGTAGTGTGTGAGAGGGACATGTCTCATTAATTGGTTGACTGAATTGAGCAGGGAAGAATAAGGGAATCTTGTCAAAGGGTTCAAGAGAATGAAGAGGAATAAAGCTTGGGGAGTTGCTTCTACGTGGAATTGGTCTGGGCTGGTTAGTGGGAGTTCAGCTTAGCATTCCTCGCTGAGCTCTAGGATTATGGGAGAGGCAGGATTTGCCAGCCTCCAGTGGGCATAGGGCTCTCACAGCCTGTGTCTGGGTATCTTCTAATGGCCAGAGCCCTGCTGTTGGGAGGAGGGACTTGCATGTCAGGGGATGTTGAGGAGTGCAACCTCACCATCCCTACTCTGTCATCCCTACCCTGGCAGTCCTGGGCTTTTGGGAACCCTGCTTCCTGATACCACCCCCTGTAGAACTGGGTGGGATTTTGGGCCTTCCTTAGTGGCACAGTGGGTTGAAGCTTTCCATAGCCACTGAAGCACGAGTTCAACCCCTGGCCAGGGAGCTGACCCACATGGTGCAGCATACCTCCCCTGACTCGCCCACTGCTCCCCTCAGCAATGTATTTCAGTCCATCTGCCTATTCTGCTCCTCACTCTGTCTCTGGTGAACCCTCTCATCCCATTGTACTTCTGGCCTGTGCCCCAGTTCTTGTATGCATAAATAAATAAATCTTAAAAAAAAAAAAAAAAAAGAACTGGGTAACTGGGTGGGATTTTACTGCTGGTCTTTGGAACAAAACATCCAGGACCTCGTTGAGAGAGATGGACACTCGAGAGCAGACAGGCCCATTACACAGCATTTTTGCGGGCAGACTCCAACAGTTGGCAGGGCAGCAATGACTGTTCTTTACCTTCTTGGCTTTTCTCTACTCTATACTCTACTTCTCTTAAATGGATTTTTTGTTTTATTCTTACAGTTTAAGAGATTTATTAGGAAAAGGAGAAAGGAATAAAGAGACACTTATATAGACACAGGTGGGTAAGGAGATGCATTTTGCCAGTACCTACTTCTGTCAAATGTTGATGATACTTATGCTGTCTAACACAGTGCCTTGCACTCAGTAGGAACGCAGTTAATAGATGTTGGACCACTGATTGCCTTGAGCACTTACATCCCCCAGTCCCTGCTGTAAGGAACTTGCTTTATTTAGTCCTTTAGACCCATTCAATTTAGGGTTGAAGAAACGGAGGTACAGAGAAGTTAATGAACTTACCCAAGCTAGTATGTAGCAGAGCTGTGATTTGAATCCAGGTTGTTGAACTCAACTTTGTATTTCACGGAACTCTAGGTTTAACCCTTAGTGAAAATGGGAGGAGTCTTCCCTGAAGAACAAAGCTCACCTTGGCTTGTGCCCTGCGAGTCAACAAGGATGCCCTGCAGGGGAACAGCACCTTCTAGAAGGTGGGCCAATGCACTCAGTATCTTGGGCGATCTGCAGGACCAGCTCCCCAGCCCCTGGCCTAGGGACACTCCACAAGCAACCCTCAGCCCAGGGGAGAGAGGAAAGTAGTGTGCTGTGAGACCTCTGGCCCAGACCACACAGCCCAGGCTCAGGTTCTGGCTCTGCTGGCTGGGTACATCCCAACCTCCCCGAGTTTCCTGAAACTAAGAGACAGAAATGACTGTGTGAAATGAAGGCATCTTATCAGAGGGCACCCATTTCACATAGCTGTCCAGCTCCACAGCTATGGCATCTGTGTAGCTCCGTAGACAAACCACTATTTGGCTCATTTCTTGGGCTAGTCTACACTGTGCCTTAGTCTACATGAGAGAGGCACTGGTGTGTGTTCATTTATTCCCTCATTTGTGTAGGCCTGAGCTCTTCCTAGGACCATAAGCATGATCTTGGGCTCTGGCCCAGGGACACACTGCTTGCTGGCTGCAATTCTTATGTTTGTGTGAACATCACGTAGGCCAGGAGAAATGTTCAGCCACCGAGGGGCTCCCTTATTACCGCTCCTCCTCTTTCCCACTTGCACACCTAAACCAATATGCACGTGGGGATGAGACACACAGATGTTTGTGGATGTGTGGGTGTGTGAGAAGAACCCCAAACTGGGCCAGAATAGATTTCATAATTGGGGTACAGATATGGGAGGATGGGTTCTTCACTGGCCTCCTCCTTCACCCTACTCCATGCACACTGCAGGGTCTGGCATCTCCCAGAGCTGTGTCAGTGGGGTGAAGACCAAGAGGGGCTCTAAGCCTTGGAAGAGAGGGAGGCAGAACATTCCGTCTGGAGAGGCTGTAATATGGTCCTCTGGTCTTCCAGCAGCCTAAAGAGGATGGAAAGTCACCAGCACCCGCTCCGGTCCTCC